GTGAATAGTCACGATTCACGTAACTTTATTTACTTCCGAAAAATCAACAATAGGGCCTAAGTTAAGTTAACTGAGTTGGAGCCCATAACGTTTGGGTGGGGGGATTTTTTGCATATGGACCCGGGGCTGACTTGCTACGCCACTGAATAAGACTGATGTACCCGCATTGTAACACAAATAAATGTAAGGTTTTTGGATTTTCCCCTTATTTTAAATGCTTGCTTATGGCTCATTATTATTAATTGAAGAAAACAAAAAAAAAAACAACTTTGAACTTTTATTAACAAAATAAATAAGGATATGTTTTACTGGCGTTTAACACAAATAAATAGCCTATGGATTTCCCCTTAGGCTACCTTAAAGGGGTCATATGATGCGATTTCAATTTTTCCTTTCTCAAAACCTAATGATTATATTGGTCTAAATGAGTCTACTCCACCAAGCTACTGTTATAAGCATGAGCCCCGTCAGACTGGTCGTGGCGGCGGTGTTGCAACAATATATAGTGATATTCTCAATGTTACTCAGAAGACAGGATACAGGTTTAACTCATTCGAAATACTTCTGCTTAATGTTACACTGTCAGATATGCAAAATAAATCTCTCCTATCTCTTGCTCTGGCTACTGTGTATAGACAGCTAGGGCGGTATAAAAATTTCCTAAAAGAATTTGCAGATTTCCTCAGACCTATTGGTTAATGTTGATAAAGCACTAATTGTCGAAGACTTTAACATTCATGTTGATAATATAAATGATGCGTTAGGACTTGCGTTTACAGACTTAATGAACTCTTTTGGAGTCAAGCAAAACATAACCAGACCCACTCATCGTTTTAATCATACACTAGATTTAATTATATCACATGGAATTGATCTTAATGATATAGATATAGTACCTCAAAGTGATGATGTTACTGACCACTACCTTGTATTGTGCATGCTGCCTGTTACCGATATTAACTATATGGCTCCGCGTTATCATCCGGGTAGAACTATTGTTCCAACCACCAAAGATAGATTCACAAATAAACTGCCTAATTTATCTCAACTGCTCTCTGTACCCATAAATACATATGAACTAGACGAAATGACTAGCAATATGGGCACTATCTTCTCTAATACATTAGAAGCTGTTGCCCCCATTAAATTAAAAAAGGTTAGAGAAAAACGTACTGCTCCATGGTACAACAGCAATACCCATTCTCTCAAGAAACTTGTAATCTTGAATGCAAACAAGGTCTAAAATCTGCCAGGGCTGAGCATATCCACAAACTCATAGAAAATAACCAAAATAATCCAAGGTTTTTATTTAGCACAGTGGCTAGATTAACAAATAATCAGATGTCACCCGAACAATATATTCCCTCACAGTTTAGTAGTGATGACTTTATGAATTTCTTCACTGATAACATAGATTGCATCAGAAATACTATAACAAATGTAGAATTGACAGCGTTTTGTAATTCAGCTTCATTCATTGCACCCAAAGAAAAACTGCAGTGCTTTAGAACTATAGGACAGGAAGATCTAAATAAACTTATCACTGCATCTAAA